CCTCAGCGCTGCGCCGGCGTGGTGGCTGCGCTGGGTTTGTGTGGGGCGGGTTTTGGTAGCAGGGAGGGGGCTATGGCAGTGACCTCCCCATGAGAAGCTTCTCAAAGCTCCCCTGGCTCCAAGTCAAACCCATCTCTGGCCAGGGACGAGCCAGTTAGTGATGGTGGCTGCCCCTCTGTGATAACATATTTAAGGAGGGGGACCTGGGAGGGGGTTGGGGATTTGTGAGGACGAGTTGGGAGAAGGATGAACACCAAGGTCAGTGGAAGGAAGGAGGAGGACATGGGGGTCGTGCAGCAAAGCAGAGACCCCTGAATACCGTGGGGAGATGGCAGGGTCACCCCCCCTGCCACTCATGGAGGTCACCGGTGGAGCAGAAGCCAACCTGAAACCTGTGGAGGAGCCCACACCAGGACAGGAGACTGCGCTTAAAGGAGGCCGGGACTCTGAGGGGAGAAGCAGCCCCCGCTGCTGTGGTTTGGTGCTGGGAGTTCCCACAGCAGAGCAGCTCAGGAACGGCTGCATCCCATGGGGAGGACTCACTGCGGAGAAGGTTCATGGAGGACTGTCTGCAGCGAGAGGGGAGCCCTGTGGAGTAGGGGAGGGATGTGCGGCGTTCACCCCCATCCCGAGAAGGAAGGAGCAGTGAGCTGGCTGTAACCCTCATCCCCTGCCCCTGCGCTGCTGGGGGAGGAGGTGGAGAGATGGGGAGCAGAGCTGAGCCCGGGGAGAAGGGAGGGGTGGAGGAGGTGGTTTTGGATGTGATGACACTTCTCACTGTCCCACCTTGTCTGTTAAGTGTTGTCTTTGTTAGCATTGAATTAAAGTAATGTTTTCTTTTCTTCCCCTGAGTCTGTCTTCTGGCCATGACCCTAATGGGTGAGCCACCCCTCCCTGTCCTTTTCTGGATTCCTGAGCCATTTCTGCTTCATTTTCTCCTTCCCATTCCTGTGGGGGGAAGGGGTGAGTGAATGGCTGCGTAGTGCTCAGTTGCCCTCTGGGCTCAAACCACGACAGTGGAGTAGGCAGGGAAACCCTGGAACCATGAGATGCCTCACAGCCAGAGCTGCAGCCTTCAAACAGTCCACAAACCACAAGGAAAACAGAAGTAAAAAAGAAAAGTGAATGATCACAGAGCCCAGGACCCCGGGGCGATGTGGTGAGGAGGAGAACCTTCAGCCTCATTTCGAAGCAGGGGGAAACGAGGAGGGATGGAGGGGGAAGGACTGATGTCCTTGCTGTGAAAAGGAGCTCGCCAAAGCATTTCATATATTTTTGTTCCAACCTTCACTAAAAAGCCATCTGCAATTGGCCAACAAGAGCAGCACCAGAAGCAAAGCAACCAGGGCAGGACGCAGTGGGAGAGGAGCTGGGAAGCCCAAAGGGGTTCAGCTCTGAACCAGAGCCTTGCTTGCACATCCCTGGGCTGCAAACCCCAAAATAACATGGGCCATCATAGAAGAGGAGGAAGAAGAAGCAATATCGCAGAGCAGGTGACTTTACACCGATTACTGAAGACACGGAGCAAGTAATCAATTATTTTTGGAAGCCTCCAGAAGATAACGAGGGGATGAGTAACGGTCTGTATTAAATTGTAGGAATAAATCGCATCAGCCCAACTTAATCTCATCCTGTGACAAGTCGATGGACTCCTGGCATCAGGGCAATGCAGGTCTCCTTGCCTTTAATGGCAAGAAGTCTTCGATGCTGCTTCAAATGCAGAATTATTGTCTGGGGGAGATGGTGTAGGGGGATTTAAAACTTATCCAAGCCCAACAGAGGCTCGAAGGGGAGCGTGTGTTTGAGAGGCTTCAGGATTCAGTGTGACCATTAACAACTGGGAATGAAGAGCATCAACCTGGTGGTCAACACTGAGATGTCAGGACTGAGATTGGTAAAAGGGGTGGAAAACTGCTCCGGGGTCATCCAGCAAGTACATAGGGATGTTGCTAGAGAGGAGACTAACACACAAGACTAATAGGAGGGATGATAAGAGGAGACCATAAATCCAAAAGTGACCCATCCTTTTGGGGATGGAAGAAAACGAAGTTGTCCTCCTGCTCCTTGGGGTGCCTGGAGGCTCAGTTTGGGGCTCTGCATTTCAGGAGAGCTATGACCCAACTGGAGAGAGGCCAGAAAACAGTGGCTGCAACGAGAAAGAGGGAAGAAATTGTCCTCCACCCCCACATCTGAAAGGACAGAGGCCCTGACCCGATCTTTGGGCTGGACCAGGCTGAAACAAGGAGCAGAGATGCTATGAGGTGAAAAGAAGGAGCAGAAGGCCAGCAAGGTGCAGGGGAGGAACAGCTGCAGATGCTGGCACAGCCCCAGCTCCCCAAAGGCTCACAGCTTTCCAGAGATGATACCATACTGGGATTTCATCACCCCTCCACCCCCCCCCCCCCAGGCCCCACACCAGCCATCCCTGGGGAAATCCAGGATGTTTGCAGCCGGCAAGGAGGGCACCGTTGTCCCACCAGGAAAGAGTCCCCATGTCCCCAAAGCTGCCCTGCCGCAGGACAGCACCAGAGCACATGTCCCCTCCAAACCTTGGAGCATCTCCAACCATCAAAGTCAATGGGTTCAGATCCCTTTCAGCTGCAGAGCGCCTCGTGCTCTCCCAGAACCTCTAATGTCACTCCCCACTCGTGTTTTATGGATTTTGGAGAGGGAGCGAAGGCACCCTGCCTCAGCCTCAGGTTTTTATGGCAGATGATCCTTCTCTGAGGAGCCACTAAAAGATGCCGGGATTTTCGCAGCCTGGTGGATGAGACCTTGCCAGAACCTCCACGCAAAGCAATGGACCTGGCCACCAACTGCCTTGTTTTCCAGAGCGCTTCCAGATTCATCAAATATAGAATTAAATAGTGGTAAATGGGCCTCAAAGTGCTATTTTGAGGGAGGAGAGGAGGCTCCATCCATGAGTGCTGCAGCACTTCCTCAGCACAACCCACTGTGCATGTCTGGCTCTCCCCACTCCTCTCCTTCAGCGCGAGAGTGGATGCTGCCCCACGCTTAAATATTTGATGGCACACAATTATTTGACATATTCCCAAGCTTATTCTTCACCCCCCACCTGTCCCATGAGCTCCCTTGATTTTTTTGGATGCTGTTAGACTCTGTCACCTTAAATACAGGGTTTGCCCAATTTCTGGGAGTGCGGTGAAGGGTGGTCAGGAGCCACTCAGACAACACACCAGCATCCAAAATTTACCTGCTCCCTACAAAATTCAGGACAGCTTCAGGGGGGAGGGAATTCCAGAGAAGGGGGGAATCCTTTGGGAAAAAGGACAGGATGAGAGATGAGGGCAGGGAGGAGGAGAAAAATCAAGATCCGAGAGGAAATGTGCCCAGGATGGAGTTTATTTTATGCGACCCCCAGCTCAGTCTGCAGAGGTATTTTGGCACCCAAAGGGGTCCAGCACCTAAATCCTGCTGCCTCCTACACTGGCTCTGAACACAGCACCCAGCTCCTTGCTGTTCAAGGCTCCGGCGTCCAAAAATCCCGTGTCTGTGTCCCCCAGTGCTGTCCCCCCATGGCCAGGGGCTTGTTGTGATCCCCTGGGTCACGGCAGCCTGCGCCCCCCAGCTCTGGGCAGCCCCCCCAGAACAGCGGCCAGACCAAAGCAGGCTTTGCAGCAGAGGGAATACTTTTTATTAGCCTGATGGACAGAATAAAGAGAAAATAAAGCTGGGAGTGCACAAGGGGCCAGCGTCGTGTGCCCGTTGCCAGTTGGGTGGTTTTCCAAGCTGGTTTAATAAAAGCGATGACCTCTCCGGCCCTCGGCATCGTCTGTCCTGGGGGCTTGGCCCAGCCTGGCGGCTGGACCCCCCCCCCCACGGCTCCCCGTAAAGCTGGGGAGGGGATGGGGACCCATCTCACCCCGCGCCCCCCCTCTCCCAAGGGACCATGAGACTGAGTTCTGCAAAGCAAAAGCAGCACGAACTTGGAGGCAGCGGTGAGAATCCCATCCGTGCCTCTCTCACAGCTCAGGGATGCTGAGGGGTGTCCGGCTTTGGGGGGGGGGGGGGGAGGAGGGGGAGGGGAGGGGTTGGGGAAGGGGGTCCAGGGCTGGAAAGGGACTGGGACAGCCCCCAAATCCTCCCCGGGGGTGGAGGGGGGGGGGTGTGTGGGGTGTGTGAGACAACCTCTCAAATCTTCCCCAGATTGGAAAGGGAGGGTGACAGCCCCCATCTCCACCCCCAGCAGCTCCCACCAAACACCCCCCTCCCCATGCTGGGGAAGGACTGGGACAGCCACAAAGCACCATCCGGGGCTGGAAGGGGACCGGGACACCCCCAAATCCTCCCCGGGCTGGAAGGGGACCGCGTCGGCCACCCCCACCCCCACTCCCCTCCGGTTCCCCCCTCCCGCCCTCCAGCCCCGCGCAGCGGCGGGGGGCCGGGGGGGGGGGGGGGGGGGGCGGTGCTTGCGAGCGGTGCCGAGCCGAGCTGAACCGAGCCCAGCCGAGCCAAACTGAACCGAGACGAGACGAGACGAGCCCAGCCCAGCCCAGCCGAACTGAACAAAGCCGGACTGAACCGAGCCCAGCCGAGCCGTGCCAAGCCGAACTGAACGGAGCCGAGCCGAGTCGAGTCGAGCCGAGCCGAGCCCAGTCGAACTGAACCGAGCCGAGCCAAGCCCAGCCGTGCCGTGACAATTCGAGCCGAGCCCAGCCCAGACGAACCGATCCGATCCTATCCTATCCTATCCGATCCGATCCGATCCGATCCGATCCTATCCGATCCGATCCTATCCGAGCCGAGCCGAGCCGAGCCCCCCCCGCCCCCGGACGGCAGCCTCCCGCAGCGCTCCTCCGCCCAGCCCTCAGCGCCGGGCAGCCCCAACCCGTCCCCCTTCCTCCTCCTCCTCCGCCTCCTCCTCCTCCTCCTCCTCCTCCTCCTCCTCCTCCTCCTCCCACCCCTTCTCCACCCCCGTCCCCTCACCCCCCCCAGCCCCGATTTGGGCAGCGCCGCGGCCGCCGCTCCCCGCAGAGCCGCCGTGTGCGGGCGCCGCGCCGGAGGCATCTCAAACCCGGGGGGGGGGCTTGAAGGGAGGAGAGCTCCGTCCCCCCCCGCCCCCCCAACCCACCCATTCACCCCCCCCACACCCCTCCAGCCCCCCCTCCCTCCACCCCCCCCCCACCCCTGCATGCCCGGGCTGCGAGCATGGCCCGCAGGCAGGCGCGGCTAGCGGGCAGCGGGCGCTGGTTGCCCTGGTTGGGGTTCGCATTGCTGCCGCTGGCCGTGGCCCCCGTAGCCGCCCCCGGGGGTTGCCCGACCGCCTGCTATTGCGTGGCCACCCCGGAGCTGGTGCAGTGCCGGTACGAGAAGTTGGAAGAACCCCCGAGGGAGCTGCCGGTCACCGCGCAGAACCTCAGCATCTCCGGCAGCAACCTGAGCGTGCTGCCCCGCGCTGCCTTCGCTGCCCGCCCGCTGCCAGACCTTCGCCTGCTCCGCTTGCGCCACGACAACATCCAAACCGTCGAGGACATGGCCCTCCAAGGGTTGCCCGCCCTCCGTACCCTCGACCTGAGCCACAACCCGCTGCTCTCGGTGGCCGCCGGCGCTTTCGCCGGCGCGCCGCTGCTGCGCACGCTGCAGCTGAACCAAGCGCTGCTGGCCGCCCCGTTGGAAGAGCAGCTCGCCCTGGCCCTGCGCAACCTCAGCTTGCGGCGCTTGGAGCTGGCGGGCAACGCGTTGCGGGCGCTGCCGGCCGCCCTCTTGCCCGCCGGCTTGGAGGAGCTGGACCTGCGGAACAACTCGCTGCAGCGGCTGGCGGCCGCCGAGCTGCGGAGCCTGGAAGCGCCGGGTTTGCGGGGCCTGCGGCTCACGTTGGGGGCCAACCCGTTGAGTTGCGACTGCGCCCTGCGCCCTTTCCTCACCTGGCTGCGGGCCGCCGCCGCCCGCGTGCCCGATGCCCGCAGCCTGCATTGCGCTGGCCCCCCGCCGTTTCGGGGGACCGTCCTACTGCACTTGCGGCCCGAGGGGTTGGAGTGCGCGGCCGCCGAGCCCGGTCAGCTGGAGACGGCCTCCTACGTCTTCTTCGGCATTGTGTTGGCCCTCATCGGCATCGTCTTCCTCATGGTGCTCTACCTGAACCGCCGCGGCATCAAGCGTTGGCTCCACAACCTTCGCGAGGCTTGTCGTGACCAGATGGAAGGCTACCACTACCGCTACGAGCAGGACGCCGATCCCCGCTCCACCAGCACCATCGGCACCCCCGGGCTCTGACGGCACCCTCGGCACCCGCCTGCCACGCCGCCCTTCGACGCCTCCGCTCCCGGCACCCACCTCACCCCATCCCCTCACCATGGCACCGCCGAAAATTAGTTTCCGAGGACAAGCCAGCCTCGGGGATGGGTGCTGGGGTGCAGCAGAGTGGGGTGCACCCTCCCCGGAGGGCTCCGGACCTGCCCGTGCCCTAATCCACCCTGTAGCGCCGCTTCCCGCAGGGGACCAGGCTGGATCCGTCCCTCCCGGGAGAAGCGCGTCCCGATGGGCCCCCGGGGATGCCGGCAGGTGCAGCCCCGCTGCTCCCCGGGGGGATCGAGGAGCTGCTTCCCACACCTCCTCTCCAGCAGCGGGTTCCCTGGGCGTACTGCGGGATGCCGCGCTGCCGGCGGGGCTCGGCTCGGCACCGCGCACGTGAGTGTTTGCTTGGCACATCCCGGGAAGCAGCGAGCAATACCTGAAACTGGCCTCCTGGGTGTTCCTGGAGCCTGGACTTGACTTTGACCATGTACAGCTCTCTTTCCTATTAGATTTCTATTTCACAGATGCAAAACTTAACTTGATTTCTTTTCCTTTTTTTTTTTTTTTTTCCTTCATTTTTTGGCTCCGAACACAGGAAAACACATCGTCCGGCTGCTCTCCCTGAGAAGCGCTGTGCTTTTCCGAGCCTGTTTATCCATTTGGTTGTGTTCGATGACATTTCCAGCTCTTTCCAGGCACAAAACGATGCAGCTGTGTAGAAAATGCCTCCGCTGGTTGCGTGCATGTTCCCCAGGGCATGCGGGGGCAGCCCTTTTCTGACTTTAAAATATATCCTAGACTAGGCTGTCTCAGCACTTCGTAATTTAAAACGAGCGAAGCAAAAGCTCTCGACCTAGTTCACCTGCCCGTGTTTGCTTTAGAACCGTGCCTGTTACTATATCCTAGAGCAAATATATTGAAAGCTGCATCCACTCTATTGTCTATTTTCTATAAAGCTTCTTGCAATGATTTCCGAGTATCCCCTTGGCTGAGGCGATGTTATTGCGGTTGGTTTGCCAGAGCTGTGGCTCCTCTGGAGTTTTGCTAGTGCTTAGAAACTTCTTTTCCTGGGCTGGTTTGGTGGCAGAGAGGTTTTACACGGCCGGTGCACAGAGCTCAGGCTCTGCCAGTCCTGATCCTTCCCTGGTAGCAGGGCAGGGACTTGGGAAAATCATCCAGGTAATAGGTTTCGAAAGCAGTTTTTATCTCCTGGGTTGTTTGGTACCTAATTCATGAGACACCGGTGTGCTGAACATCTCCAGATGCTGGAGAGGCAGCACAGGGCTGCGACTCGCAGAATTTCCTGAAATAAAGCTGTAGCGTTTGCAATGTGGCGTTGTAAAATGCTGAATTTCAGCACCAGGCTGAAAACTTAAGTGTTGCATTTTGATACATCTGTGTTTGCCTTCCTCCGTACCAGGAGGCTGAGCCGGGCAGGGGTGAAGGGGGGGGCTGCATCCTCGCTGCCCCGCAGCCGTGCTGGGACCAGCACCGGTGTTTGCCCAGTGCTTTGGGATCCTTGATGTGGGGAGCAGCAGATACCCAGTGTATCAGGTTTGTAAATGAGAGTTTTGTGGGCTTTATGGTCCCTGAGCCTGTGTGTGTGTGTGCTCAGCTGCTGGGCAAAAAGCTCTGCTGGGGGAAGGCACAATTATTGACATCCCAGGCGTGCCCGGAGGCACAGGGAAGGATGCGACCTGGTGCAGGGTCCTTTGCATTTCACCCCTTTGCTTTTTCCCCCATTGCATTTTACCCCTTTACATTTCCTCTCCTTGCAAGCCCGGTATCGAGGTGGACAAGCCAGGAAAGGGGAGCTGGTGCAGAGCCATGCATCTGAGCTGTATTCAGGTAGGGATATGGCACTGGAAGTCAAAATGAGTTTCCTGGGCTGGTCCTGCTGAGCAGGGAACTGGTTCCCCACTGGAGCTGGGTCCTGGCTCTGGCCCAGATCCTGGGGAAGCCCCAGAGACCCCCACGGCTCACCTCATCGAAGGTGAGTGGCCCCAGCAGAAACTTGTTGCATTTTGGGGATGTTTTCCTGAGGTTTTCTCCCCATCCTAGGAGCTTGTCGGCTCCAGCCCCACCTCGCCACCTCATGCAATGAGTTACTGAGCAGGTTTATAGGGGAGAAATTTCAGCCCACTCCTCCCCTTCATCCCCTTTCTCACCTCCGTGGAGCCAAAATGCAGCCCCCGAGCAAGAGAAAGGGCAACGGGGTGGATTTGCACATCTGGCAGAGTGTGATTTCTGCTGAGCATCACGGGCCGTCCTGGGCTGCAGCATCAGTTCGTGGGGATGGTGCCGGGAAGTCCTGGCACCGTTTCACATCTTGCAGCGAGGAGGAGGAGGAGGAGGAGTGCCCGGAGGGCTTTGCGGGGCAGAAGGGTGGCTGTTGGACCAGGGAACACAGAGCACTGCTGCTGGTGCCTGGCGAGAGATAATGGGAAGAAAATTGCCTCCGGGCAAGTGGAAAAATGGCCAAACACATCCTGGCCCTGAAGCCCTTTGGCGAAGGGGGTGGGCAGACGGTTTTCTCTGAGGCCAAAAGGAGGGATGTGGTGGCTTTTGGTCCCCCAGGGATGAGGACACTTCTTTCACTCTTCATCCTCGCTGGGTGCATCGAGCCCCCGGGGTGCATGTGCTGGCCCTCACCAGGGAGGCAAAGCCCAGTCAGCCCAGCGAAGGCGATGTGCGAGAGGTCGGATGGGGGGTGGTTGGGTAGATAACCAGCTGTAGGAGCGTAATTCTTGTGGCTTGTTAATGTTAATATTATTCCACAAAGTGCATACCCCACGCATGACCAATCAGCAGGATTAGGGATCCTCTGGATTAGCCAAACCAAGGCTTGTCACTGAGCCAAAACCCAAAATGTGCTTTTTGGGTTCCCAAAGACACCCGTGTGTTTAGAGAAACCCGGCTGCCATCGTGTTTCCGTGCAGTCCTTTTTCACAAAGGGCTCAGCGAGGGGGGTGCAAACCTCCCTGAGCCTTTGACAGTGAGCTGCTGCCCCAGCAAAAAATTACCCCAACAGCTCCTTGAGCTGCATGAAATCCAGAATAGAAACAGCATCGGTGATACGAATCAAGCGAAGGATGCTCAGAGCCCTCTGCGGTGGCTTGTCACCAAAAAAAAAAACAGGGGAAGAAACCCCAGAAGGGCTGTTTATATGCCCTGAGATGTTTATAAGCAGTCAGTGCTTTGCAACCCAGTGTGGTTTTTCAGATCTGCTTTTCCTTCCTTATTTTCCAAAGAGCTCAGCTGGTTTCTTGGGCTGGTCCAAGAGGTGAGCGGTGAGATTGAGCAGAGGAGCGCCCTGCCTGCATCTGTCCTCCCCTGCACCCGTCCGTGCGGGTTTTGGGTGCTCATGGCATTGAACCGGGGCATCCCGGCTGTGTTTTGAGAAAAATTTTTGCTCAAATTTGGTGAAAATTTCTCCGTGGCACCCAGAGGTGAAGGAGAGATGCCGAGCATGGGCTCATTTAGGGCAGAAGAGGCCAAAAATACTGGCGTGGTGAGTGCTGCTTGATTTATCAAGTAGAAATAACTGGGCTGGAGCATCATCCTTGTCCCCGTTGACTGCGGAGCTGTGATGCCTCAGCACTTGGGCAGGGAAAAAAGACAGCCGCTGGGTGCTTCCCCCTTCCAAAAATACACAGAATTAATAAAAATTAATTCTTCTCAAGTGGCTTCACCCCTGTGAAGCTTCACCTCAGGCTCCTTCGTCCTCCTCTGGTAGCAGGTATTAACCCAAACCTACAGAGGGAGTTAAAAACAAAAACAAACCCAAAACAAACCTCTGCTTTTCACCTGTTAGGAAAAGCAAGTGGGAACTGTTACCCTCATGCGTTGGGGAAACTGAGGCACAAAGTAGGGCCAAGTACCTGCTATCAGGGAAGGGTTTGGGCAGAAAAAACCACAGAGATGGATTTCAAACCTCAGTAGAGTTCACTTTAAAACTCTGGGCAGCTTTGGAACCTGAGCCCGGAACAGTCCCTGCTCTGTTTGTCCTTCCTCCAGCTCAGAGGTGAGCCCTGCACCTTGCCAGAGAAATTGGGGGTAATTAAGGATCTAATTACCAGGTTGGGATAAGGCTGGGGGCCGGGCTCTCCCAGGGCGGCTGAGCACTGACAAGCTCAGCTCAGTGATGAGCCCCCGCTGGCAGGGAGGGGGTTGGGGAGCTGTCCTGGGGAAGAGGGGCTGGAGGGGGACACACACACACACACATGCAGGTCAGAACCCCCAGAATGAACAGTGGTGTGACATTCCCTCCACCCCCCTGCCCGCAGCCTGCCCTGGGGTGACAGGCAGGACAAGGGTGCTGAGGCAGGGACAGGCAGGGATGGGGGGGGACAGGAAGGGATGGGGGGGGACAGGGATGGACAAGGGACAGGCAGGAATGGGGGGGACAGGCAGGGATGGGACAGGGACAGGCAAGGATGGGACAGGCAGGAATGGGGGGGACAGGCAGGGATGGGACAGGGAGGGATGGGGGGGGACAGGTAGGGATTGGGGGGGACAAGCAGGGATGGGGGGTGACAAGCAGAGATGGGGGGTGACAAGCAGAGATGCCCATACAGGTCACCTCAGACTGATCAGAGCTGGGCTGGAGGGGATGCAGCTCCCCCCACCCAGCAGGACACCCCCAGAGCCTGCAGCCCCCCTGACCTTGCACCCTTCCGGCCACCCAGGCCCACAGCATGGGGGCACCTCATCTTCCTCGGGGCGGTTTGTCACCCTGGTGTGTGTCTGCACCCACGCCTGGCTCCAGCAGCCCCCCCGGGGAGCTGGCACAGCCCCACCGGGGCAGATGGGGAAGGATGTGTTTCCACTAATCTGCCCCAATCTGGATTATTTTTCAAAATAAATCTGATGTCCCAGCTGTTTTAAGCAAGTTTTTGGCACGTTGGGGACAGGTGGGGTTCTGGGGGTGGGGGGAGAAGCTGGCAGGGGAGGACATGGGTGCTCCGTGTCCCCAGGCTCCTGGTTTTTGTGTGGGGAGGGAGGACCAGAGCATCTTTGAGATGGTTTTGGCAGTGCATCACCCAACTCGAGGGGGGCCGGGCTCATCCCATGGTTTTTACTGCGGGCAGGGTGGGGATTGCTGAAGTTTTCCCCTATTAAAAGCCACCGAGAAATGATTTACCTTGAGGGCCTGGTGTCAGCCCCACAGCCCAGCTCTCCCCCCACCATCTCGCATCCAAAGCAGAGCTGGGATTTTCTGCAGCTCCCAAGGGGATAAAACAGCACAGAAAACGCCTCTGGCCAGGGATGAGCCACTCTTTAGCCAGGTTCTGGGGCTTTGGGGAGGGGGGTGGTGGTGGTGGTGTCCCAAAAGCAGGATCCACCCAGGGCTGAGCAGTATTGGCCCCTCATCGTACGTAAAGATGCGGTGGCACAGAAAACCCAGCTGAGCCACCCTGTCCTTGCAGCACGTTTGCCAAGCACTTGCCGGCCTGACATTTACTAATACCTATTTTTAGATGATCTTCATCACTTCTAATTGCTCCAGCTCCTCAGCCTCACAGGGCACAGCCTCAGCTCGGATGGAGACAAAACCAGTTTCCTCCCTCTCCTGTGGTTTTACACCAGTGTGAACGGCCCCAGCCCTTGGCCCAGGCCAAGTGCTCACAGCTCCATTCCCTCCCCAGCCTGGTACAATTTGCACAAACATTCCTGCTTCAAAGGAAGCCCCTGAGAAGGACCTTTCTGTGATGCCTCTGTGGGGAGGTTTCTACATTCTTCATGAAGAGGAACCCAACTCATCTCTGCGATATGCAAGTGGAGAACCTGCACCCCAAACCCGTGGAGATGCTGCTCTGCATGAGCAGGATGAGCCCCTGAACCCCCAAACCCATGGAGATGCTACTCTGCATGGGCAGGATGAGCTCTTTCCATGCCCACGGGACAGGTTTCCAGAGCAGGAGCAGGACCAGCCCAGGCTGCCCGTGCCCAGCAGTGCCACCCGGGGATCAGCATCCCTGCCACCCCCTTCCCAAGGGCCCCGGGTCCCCTGGCTGGTGGCCCACGAGCAAGATCCATCACCCACGGTCCAGAGCAAGTGCTCAGGGGACATGGGCTGCATGTGGCTGTATCGCTGGGCTTTTGGGTGGTTTCTCTCTTGCTCCATGACTCAGTTTCCCTTTCAGGGAGTAGCACAGTTTAGGGCCACCCCTTGACCCCAGGGACCTGGTTTTGGGGACTGCTGGCTCTGCTCTGACCCCAAGGCCTCTGAAGGGACTTCAGGTGTTCCTCCATACGCTGCTGCACAGACATAGAAATCACTCATTAGCTTTCCCCCCATAACGTGACGGGTGGAAGCAACCCTCATCCTATTTTTGCTGCCCTGACAGTCACCAGCTGTGTCCTCCCACGGCGAGATGGATCCAACCAGCAGAACAAAACCCTGAGAGACGGGCTCCAGAGATGTCTCCTGAGCCCCCAGAGTGCCGAGCCCAAGGGACATACCATGCAGCTTGGGCTTGGCGTGTTGGTAAATGTTAATTTAATAACTAAATTAATTAAATTGACAAGATGTGTATGTGGAGCCAGGCACCCCTGCTTGCCAGGACTCACCGGCTTCCAGCGACCGTGGCTGCTGCCAACCCGGTGTCCCAGGTGAACCCCGGAGCCTCCGTGTCGATGTTTTGGTCCCCCCAAACTGCTTACCCGTGCTCTCGGGCTGGTCCCGGAGGAGATGTCCCTGTTCAACAGGGACAAGGGCAACAGAACCGGGTTGCAGGGTGCTCCTCTCCCTGCTGACAGACACCCCGCCGCTCGGCTTCCCCCCCCCAAACCTCGAGGGGTGCTCAGCCTGGCCCTTGGTTGTCCCCACGTCTTGAGAGGGGTGCAGCAGGCCAGCTGCAGCCCCCCCCCACCTCCCCTGCCCGGGGGCTCGGTCCCTCTGCACAGGCTCATGGTGACATCCAGCGCCGGTTCCTGCAATTACAGAGCAGTGGGACCAGGGATGCTCAACCACCGCTGACCTGTCCGGGTCCTGTCCCCCATTCCTGCTGTGGCCGTGGGGTGATAGCGCTGCTCCCCCACTCCGAATAAACACCTCCATCACCAAGTCCTTTTACTGTTTTCTTCTTTTACAACCAGGTTTCAGGGGGATGGTTAAGCCTCTCCCTGGAAAGCACCACCTGCACGCTGTCAGCGCATCAGGGGGGATAATTCAGAGCTAATTCTAGTGAGCTGGCAGGAGAGCAGCCCCCACACGGGGCAGGGCTCTTCAGCCTCAGCAAGGAGAAAAATAATTCACACACAGACCCCTCCAGGATGAAGCCTTCAGCCATCCCTGGAGGGATGCAGGAACCCTCCTGGACATGCTGCTGTGCCCCCAGGAACCATTTTCTATCGAGCTTAACGATGATTTAAAGTAGCCTTAAAATATGAAAGCCAAGCTGGGGTGGATCAACTCTTGTCTGAGAGTTTAACAGTGAGTCTAAGAGCCCCACAGAATCCCCAGCACAGGGTGATCTCCTGAGCAAGAGGATAGTTGCTCTTCCTCATCAGCTTTCCTGAGGGGACTTTCCACACGGAGCTGAACCCTTCTGATTTGGGTGAAACCAAACCCCCCCAAACTCCAGCCTCTCCTCATTCCACCTTGGGCCCGCCTGTCCTATGGCCCCAAACATCCAACTCTCCGTCCAGGTTCTTCAGGAAACGCTGCAGTTCCTGGGGCTTTAGTTATCTGAGCGGTCAATATTCCTCCTACACCAAGTCAGGAACAGTTATCCACCAGCTCTGTTTTAGGGAAATCGTGTTTGATTAAAGACCACCGAAGAAACATGAATGACTGCTACTACGAAGAGAATATTTTATTACTTATAACACTTCATTCAGCTAATTCCACATAGCAATACACACAGAAGTTCTTCAGAAAAGTGCAAATTGTCACTCTGTATTTGCAATATGCCCTAGTTTTACAGAAGAACAGACACCGGGTAAACAAGAGCACAGATCCAGAACTCCCCAGGATTCTAGCCAAGGAGAACGATGCAACTTCAGATACTTCAATCACCTCGTACGAAGCTACTCTTCAGCACATAAAGGGCAGGGGAGGATAGAAAATGTCCTGGGTGTCAAGATGGACTCTAACCAGCCAGGTGTCACCATGCAAAGAGCCCCCCCCTCTCTTGCTTGGGGAGAGAAGAGGGCAAAAAGGCGGGGGGAAAGACAAAATGAAGTGATGACAATATTAATTTTAAAATTAAAGAGGACATCCAAGTGCTTTCTAAAGCAGACCACACGCTCCGCCCTGCCCCAAATGACAGAAACCATCATTTCACCTGGCAGCTTCTCCGTCAATCCTGATAGTTTCACACAAACACCCTCCCTTTAGGAGCTGAAAACCCTTAATAATTCAGGAGCCAGACAGAAAGGGAACAAAAAGTGCTGCCTGAGCATCACTAAACCAGGGAATAACACCAGAAATCCCAACATCCAGCTATCCTCCAAGCAAAGACACAGTGAGAACTTGAGATCAGTCAAGAGCTGCCCAAGGCAGGTAAAGGAGCCCCAGGCAGCATGTTTTAAGCCATCTCAATGTTTGAAACAGAAAACACATCGAATTTTAATTCTTAATTTGCTCTGCAGATGACACAAAGGTTTCCCCTCTTCTGTAGGAAGAGCTGGTTCTTAAGTTAAGGAAATTCAGAGACCTGCTCAGGCGAGATGCCAGTTCTCCAGGGGAAGCCTGGCTCCTTTGGGCAGCACCGCGCTGGGGCAGCAAGCGAAGGGCAGGGGCTACGCCGCTTTGGGCTGCAGCTGGAGCTGTGCTTGAAGCTTCCAGTCAAGCTCTTCCGTGCTAAATACGCTCCCTCCTTCTCTTCCGTGCAAGAGTTTGGCATTCGCTCATGCCGCGGAAGCATCCTTTAGAGGTGCGGGAGGAGATATGTGAATAGCACTTGAAGCTACTTAAACCACAGACTGGACGCTATTATCACAACTAGAATAAAAAATATCAGCTACAAGCTCTGCGTCGTAGATATTCAATCTTGCCCAGCAAGTCTCCTGGTCTTATAAAGGTCCAGTCTTAGGTCCACAGAAACACAACTTTACCACATATCTGTGTGAGACAGAAATTAAGCCTGTCACATCAGAAAGGGAAGAGATAAAAAACAAGCCCTCCTAATTTTATCAAATGCTAAACACAAATCATTGGCCACCTGATTACGGTTTAAAGCCAATGACTTGCTGTAGGACCAACCTTTGAAAAGGCGTATTTTAACGGGAATCGCCTGGTAAACAACACCCGCAGCGTACTTTGGTCTATTATCTGCTTTCTGCTCAAGTCTGAAAAGCCTTTGTTCTTATCTGAAAAGTAGTAAAGAAGAGCTGACAACTGAACGAGGGTTGCACACAAGCCCAAACTCAAACACGACGTATAACAAAGTTACAGGGTGATGAAATAAGAGAATTGCAGTCCTTCACAGGAACAGAAGTAAGGGAAGCAAGATCAGAGGGAGGAGATAAAGGAGGAGTTCCACAAATGGAACAGTATAAATATATCAAACAGTTCAAATACAGTAGGAAAACAATGGTAGCAGCAGTTTAAAAACAGCAATAGTCATTATACCCTTAAAATACATTCAACACATCGTGCCTGTTGCTGTCATTCCAAAAGCACTACTACGTCTATAACTTACTGCTCAAATCTACTGACGAGAAGAATCTTAACTCCCTGTATTTGTTTGTTGGGTTTGGTTTTTTTATTAAAGATATTTAGACTATGAAGAGTTACCATACTGCATTTATAACACTTGCCTACTGAAAGCAGGGCTCTCTGGGAAATTGCAGATTCCTGCTCTTTGTAGGAGCACAAACATAACTCACGAGACGCAACTCCTAACGCTAATTGCTGCAATATACACACAGCCGGCCTCATCACACACACACTACGCTTTTTACAGTCTTTACCTTTGTTCAAAATTACGTTCCAAGTCACTTGTTCTCTTCTGTACTACTGGTAGGCTATTCAAAAACAAAATCTAAAATGCCTAAGGCTTCAATCTGCTGCCAGTGAAACAAGGCCTCCTTCAAATTCAGTGCAGTTGGGATCCAGATCTGCACCTTTTTGTGAAAACTGAAGACAAAGCAGCAGACATAAATGCCTCCACGCCTTCCGAGACCTACCCAGTGCTGTACAAGAACATGAGCACACTCTAAGCATAAATGCTTTCACTCATTTTCCCCACCACATCAGTCAAATGTACAATCAAGAAAACAACAAAAAAAAAAAAAAAAAGGTTTTTTGGCATTAGATACATTTCACTCAATTGCAGAACAACTTGGAAATATTTTCTTGTAAAATGAAAAATAAATAAATATCAGTGGCAAATAAGAAGTTGTGCAACACAGACCTTCTGCAGTACATGTACATTCATATACAGCAAAATACTTATCCACAGTTATAGTGCAAAGCTTCTGTCAGCATGAAATACCCAATACCCGCACACAGAAACCTTGGTGCTCTTTGAAGCCATCTAGATGCAACACAGACAAAACCACCCCGCGCGATCCTACGGCATCAAGCTGTAAGGGTACAATAAGATGGAGGACAAATTTAGAGATTTAACAATAGTGGCAAAACAATGGCTTTAACTTAAGTGCATCTTCGGTTTTTCTCATGTAACCTTTCACACAGCAGTTCAGCATTCGGTTTTATTTATTTATTTTCTTTAATTATTGTAAAGTGATAGCAGGGAGATATCCAGCACATCACTGACTTGATTCTGAAGGCTTATATTAGTGATTTAGTAGCACACATTAACAAGTATTATTCTCAGTTAATCAATCAGCAGTTTTTTCCTGAAGTGTTGTTTCAGTTGAAGTATCTTCCACAGCTTTTCTGTGACAAAAACCATGGGGTTTATTTTCTGAGATCCTAGATATCTACATGAGAATTTCTGTATCAGTGATTAGCAGTCTCACTTTCTACTCAAGCATATGTAGGAAACTGGTAATGGGTTGTTAAAAATTTGCCCTAAAAAGTAAAGACTAATAGTATTTGCAAACTGCTATTCTAGCAGAAATTAGCTTACAAGACACGACCAAAAAAATATTACTAATTAGTAACAAAAAAAAAAAAAATGGTGATAGTCTCTCACCTCTGCTTTCAAAACCAAGAATTTTCATACAAAAGGTACTGAATTTCTGAAGCCATTGTTAAAAAAAATAAAAGAAAAGAAAAAGGCTTAAGACCCTTTCAGAAATGAGGGACAAAAAATGGTTACAAAGCCTATTGTGATTTGCCTGGGCACTTTAACCAAGGAATGACCAAGCTTCTGCTCCTTTGGAAGCCTTGGGGAGGCACTACATAATTCAAAACCCAGCCGGCAAGCGGAACTGCATGTGTTGCCACTATTGTTTCACTGTCAAGTAAATATTTTAAGATACACACAGGAAAGATACAATGCACCAAGAGCACCTTTAACAACAGAAGGATACTTAAGCAGCTGAAAAATGCTATATTGAACAACTTGCCTAAACAAGAAATGCTAAGCACTGAACTCTACTTCAACGTTTTTGGAAATTAAGACCTGTAATGATGACACCCACATCCAGGCACAACAGCTAGGAAGAAGCAGGCTTTTTTGTCAGCGTGGAGTGATCACTTCCTTCCAACACTACACGATGACCTGATTTTAAAATCTTTTTGTACAAAAGGTATTGGGTACCTGAAATGAGTTTAAGACCAGATGTAGTGGCTAAGATCAGCTGCCTTAAACCTACTAGGGCAGTCCATTCGCATTGGTGCAGGTTAATTAGTCTTTTTGGTCAAAAGGACAGAAAAATTTTATTATAAGTTCCATCTTTTTCTCTCACTTCCTCTCCTTACCCCCATTTTCTAGCCCAGACTTTGGGAAAAGCCTGACAAAAGAATGCTGCTTCTTTACAGAATAAAAGTGTAGCTGTTTAACACACATACACACACACACACACGTATGAAATGGAGTTCTGTTCTTGGTTCCTTTGTTTCACATGACGCAGTGCAGGCAGTCACTTCTTTGAACACCAGTTGCAGGAGATCTAAGCAGAGCGCCAGATCAGTCCATTCTTATCAGGTTCAAGAAAATTCTCAATCAAAGCCTCAATAAGCTTCTGAAGTTCTTCTTCCAGCATGCTTCTGTCACTAGAAAGAGAACAATACCATGTCAGAGGTTTGATAAACACCAAGCATCTGTTAAAAAAAAAAAAAAAAAAAGAAAAAGGCAAAAAAAGCAGAAGGATCTGATGGTGATGGACTAGCTCTGTTATGTCTCCTACCAGCATCAACATGTAGAGACTCCAACCTGCTTAACAAGCTATCTTTCGGTAGGGACTATTGCAATAATAATTTAAATTCATTTAATTAACTTAAAGAGAAAAAAAATAATTGCCACCAGAGGGCTCTAGGCTAGCGGGGAGGGGGGACGCAAGAACTAATGCCTGCAAAACCAGTGCAAGACTGGTCAGACACAGACTGTAAATGGATTAAAAAATAAGAACAAGATACTAATAGAAGAGATAGATACCCCATGTTCTTCTCTACCTGTTGTCCAGATGCCCATCTTGGGTATCTGACTATATTTTGACTGAAGTACAATTTGGGGGGATTGAGCAACTAGGCAAAGTGTCACAGCTCACAAAAGGACACCGTAATATACTGATCCTTCCCCTCTTTAAATGCCCAGACATTCATTTGAGTAAGAAGACAACATCCACAGGCACAAACACTAATGCATTGCAACACTGCTTTAAAAATGCATCATCCCTCTCCTACCCCAGAAGTCTCACTGGAGAGAGAGGAACTCAGTCCGGTTTTAACAGAGAATAGGCAAAACAGGCTTATTTACCTTTGCTTTGTTCATTTGTGGAACTGGCAATGTACCATTGCCCTTCAGGTCACCACTTCCTTTTAAAGAAAACACCCAAAAATGCTGCAACAAAACTGACTTTCCTGATGTTCACCTTGTAAGAATAATCAATAAACAGCAACTCAGAGAAATATTTGCAAAGCTACTACAGAGCAGAATGCCTTTTGAGGTTCCTACAGACCATTTTATGCCTTGAACTAGGGAAGCTTGAAAGCTTTTCAGTTTCATGTTCCAGATAATTATCATTAACCACAGATATTACTAAAATTAAAAGGTCAATGTATTTTTCTGACTTACCAGAATGAACAGCAGCAGAAGCCCAAATGATGCAACAAAGCAGCCTCAGGTACTGTGTTTCTCTCCCCACTACTACTACTCGTCTGGCCTTCACTTGTATTAAGATTAGACTAAGGGAAATATTTTCTAGCATTTATTTCTTCCTCATTGGTACAACTGTCTGACTCATTATATCTTACTTTTTTTTTTTTCTCCAGCATTTACAGTAAATGGTACTTTGCCCACTCCCAGGTTTATGGAAGCATGTTCTAACTGAAGTGAGAATTTCCATACCCACATAACAAAGAAGTGCATTCATATGCCAGACAATCAGAGAGATCTCTGACCAAACAATACAAGCTTCTGGCAAGAGCTGCCATTCAGAAAACTGGGATGTAGAACTAAAACTGCTCTAAGTTGGTGTTATTTCAGTTCAGAGCAATTTAAAATCATGGTTCAAAAGATGGGCCGTACCTGTCTTAAGACACTTCATGTAGCAACAAACCACGTTTTAAAGAATACTTCAGCAACCTGTGGGAAGCTGTCTAGGCAGGGATCCGTGTAACCCCTCACACACACATTTTACAAGCAAAGGCAGTCTACCACTCACTATCCACTGCCTGCCGACATCTGACCAAAACATTCAGTGATAAAAATATGGTCACCCTGAATTCCTGCCAGTAAGTAGAAATAAGTACTGAATCAGAGGTGCCTTTATGTTATTTTCAACTCTCTGCTCCACAGAAATGTCAGGACACAAGTCTAAAAGGAGGGTTACTCACCCAATTTAGGTGAGGAATCCAGTTCAAGAGCCTGCTTCTCTCTGTTAGCTAGACTGAGAACCTAAGCTCCTTATTCACACGCCTGATTTCAATGGTGGAAAACATACCCTATTTTTCCCACCACCACCACCTTTTAAATTAGAAGCAGCTCAATCCAGGTGGCTGTCAGAAGGGCACAGACCTCTAGTTACTATCCAATAGCTCAGAGAAACACAGCAGATTCCCAAATGCAACAGGAATCCACTTGGGTTTAAGCTTACTTGCCAGCTGCAGCACAACTTCAGCACTTTTTAGTTCTAAAATAAATGAGGAATTGGGTTAATAAAGGAAGACTTCTACTGCGGGAGATGCTGCAAAGTCAGTTCTTTGTCTTGTCCAGTACAGAGGGGATCTCTTATGAGCAGGAATGGGCATCACTGTCCAGTTTAAGAGGCTGGAGCCATCAGCCCGGGCTCAGGTGTCCAAGAGGGCAGCAGCAGAGCCCCCCACCAGCCGTGTGCCCGCAGCCCTGCTACTGACCTCTGTCCCGGCAGTGCACACATCTCTGCGTAGTACTTGATCTTGGGTTCTGTTCCGCTTGTCCGAAGGGTGGCAACACAACCATTTTGAAAGGTAAAAGTGATCATCTGACTGCTTTTACTCACGGGCAGCACCTACATAAACAACAACATTTTCTTACAGAACACCCTGACTAACACAAATGTGGGTGTTGGTTTTTTTTTTTTTTTGTTAATACAACACTCAGTACATCCAGAGCTAAACAAACATGCTAAACCCTCTGCGGTATACATCCACCAGCTCATGCAACAGACTATAAGTCAATTCAGCCTGACAGGCCTGTCTCTTGGATCAGACTCAGTATTTCAGGGTAATGGGACTGCCTCTTACTCCCATTGGAATTCCAACACCTGGAAGCCTGCTAGACAGCTTAAAGGCTGCAGGAGTATCAAGTTCACTTGAACTAATAAAGTTCGTTTGTTGTTATATCAAAATAACCAATAAAATAGCAAAACTATTTCATATTTAAGCAGTTTTCTCCCCAGTAAATGTTGTTAAGCTGTCTTTATAGATAATGGTGATTATACTGACATCTTAATTGACATAGTACATCTTTCTGCATAGTTCTTGGTGTAATTAGCTTTCAGACTCTTCAAAACCAGAACCTCTCCTGCAAAAATACTTTCTAACTCACCGATTTCTTACTTGGCTGGCTGCTGTCATAGCCAGTGGTAATATCTCGTACATGTAATATATTGTAAATACCACAACATTTTGGATAACACTGAGGGGCGTCGAAGTTCCGAAGTTTTTCAAATATCCCTTTGATAGTAGGAGGATCGTAGCACAAGAAATAGGAAGTCTTTGATATGTGATATCCATACCTACAAGCAGATTAACATTTGCAGTTATAAGATTCAGAAGTTTTCTGCACATTTGGTATCTAGGGAAAGCCCCTGTTTGGAAAAGCAATAACAGAAAAAGAATGCAGTTCTCACAGCTGTGGAAACAGATATTTATAGGCAAATGTTTGGACTCTGAAGCAGATTTCACTGCATTACTCAGATCATCTTAAGCTATTTTTAAATTCAAGCAATGTTTTCAGTTCCAATGAAATAAAAGCCAATGGTTTGGCTAAGTGCAGCCTTAATAGCTCTCAGGAAATTAGTATGCAACATCACTCCCACACCATCAAAAATTGCTGTAGCCATGTGAGCAGCCACAACAGATTATTTCAACAGCCTCTGAGGAAGGTGACTGAGTATTTCACCCAAATTAAAACTACTATCACCAGTCAGACCTAATGCAAGCTCTCACCAGGTGCAGCAACCCCGTTTGCATGTTGATGTTTAAGTTGTTCTCCACCATATTCCAGCCACTCCTCAGTCTACAGAGACCTTTCTCTGCAGCTTAAGAAGTTGTGACTGGAAGAGGAATCCTTCTGTTATCACTGTGACTGACAGCTTTTCAACCCAGCTGCGCAGAATTGGTTTTGCTACAGTTTGCATACGACAGAGCAAACTCCTGAGTGCCATAAAGAGAAAAATGCTGACCATCATCTGTGCTTCCTCATTCCCAGTTTCTAAGGGCCACGGTCTGACTTTCTCCTGGGCCAGCAGGAAAAGGAATGGGATCTATGATTTGCTCTAACTGTGCTGCCAGCTCTGTTAAAGCACTGGAACTTCTGCTGATGAACTGGGATTATCACAGTACGTGACTTAACCTGGACATAAACATGATCCTTATTTTATTGCTATGAATTCTGTCCATAGCTATGGAACACAGGCCATTCCTTTAACCTCTGTTCTGTTACAAATATCTGAGAACAGCAAGTGACCTCTAACAATCCCCAGACTGTGTTTAAGTGAAAATAGTGTTTAAAGAGAGGGAAACAGGCCACAGCTAAGATATAGCTGCCCATCAGAAGATAAAAGTAGTAATACAGCATGAAGCAAATAAGAGAGAAAAGCTTGACGTGGTGGATCCTTACTTTCACAATTTATTGCAGAAACACGATAGAAAGGGCCTCCTTAGTCCTTTGGGAGAGAAGGCATTCAAGTGGCAGCTGTAATACGACTAGTCCATCATAGCATCAGAAAAAAAATAACTCACAGTGACAAGACATCTAAGGGATGTATTAAAAATACTTATTAGATTACATCCAGCTCCACTAGAACATACTAATGAAAAATACAACTTACATTTCATATATCTCAATGAGCTTTTGTGCTAGTGTTAGGTTCTTGCTCTCCAGGAAGGTTGCCATTTCAGCTATGACCACAGCTGCACTTACACCATCTTTATCCAACACTGATGTGCCACACATGAAGCCTAGAAATAAAAAATTGATTGTGGAAAAATAACCTGACATACTATTACACTCATCTACTCGATTGAAATTTTAACCTTTTTCATGTAAAAGGGAATTGGCCAATACACGTAAGCTGGTTTTGTTACTGCATATGCATTTGCCTTTTCTAAGAAATCTAATTAACTTAGAGGTTACAAGGCTGAAAAGATACATGTTATAATCAATTAATTCCAGATTGATAACATCTACTCTTTGAGGAGATCTCTCATTGTACAGTGATAAACATAAAAATTTGCTTGTTTTCTACAAGCACACTGATACTGCAGAGTCTTGCCAGTAATTTGAATCAAAAGAACCCACACAGATACAGCCTTGGTAACCCATAAAACAGTGCTCCCCAATACTGCCAAGACGTCTTCTTTCTGAAGGAATGCGTGAGCAAGACCGTAACTCTTTATGGCTAAAAGATTCTTGCATTGTGCAAATTAAACTGGCATGGACACCACACCCCCTCCTCAGTGGGTGCTTCACTTTCAAATGTCATGTTAGATGTGAATATGCTGTCCCAGAAAGCTGCCATTTAATCTGAAGAAGCGGAGAATTCTGGTAGCCGAAATGTTCACTACACAGTTCTCCACAGATTAGTAGCATCAGCAAGATTACCAAGATAAACAGAGTGCTCAAGGCAAGCTCAGCAGGAATATTCACACACTTCCATAAGGTATTTAATGCTATTCCTGCAGAGGGCTGGATTCCTCACGTGTTGCTCTGCAGAATGCAGGGAAGGCGTGCAAGTCCTGCCGGAACTGCAGCGCTGGGGCGATGGAGAGCGTGACGGAAGCGAGCCACCTCCCAGTTCCACACAGCCATTAACAGCAGGTCCTCGCAGAGAGGACCCGTAAGGTGTTAAACTGATTAAGAACAGATCCCATGCTTAACCGCAGCTAAAATGCCTCAGAGCCACAGTAGTTTGGCTCCGGCATCTCAGAACTTCCAACCTGCATCAGAACAGGTTTGTACCAGGAAACTGCACAAGCACAATACCAGGATCCGAGATTCATACGGCATTTATTATGGTAGTTGGCAAGTTAATTTGATGAGAGCAAAGTACCAACACTAGTAACTACAAGAATAAAGTACTTTTGTGTTTTGTTTCACAACCAAGACCACTCCTTTTTAGTCACTTTACCTCCACTCAGTTCTCAACATTTTAAAGTGATATCAACATACATACCAATAGACTCTTCAAATGCAAAGAGAACTTCTTTTCCACTATCTAGGAGATCTTTTACTCTACTTCCAATCCATTTAAAACCAGGGAGTGTTTCCTGAAACAGAAGAAAAAAACAAAACAAAAACAAACAAAAAAAAACAAAAAAAACCCAACAAAAAAAACCCACAACTGCATTAAATACATTTTCTATTTAGTTTCAAGTCAAAGAAGAAAGTGTAGCCACTATTCCTTTCACTTCAGAGATGCTTCAGACTCAAAAAGAAAGAAAAAAAAAGCTGATTCTGAATTTTTGCGTCAATGAGAAAGACGCTGCTACAGAGTCAAAACACTAAAGCTTAAGGACATTCTTCTGATTTTCTTGAAATAATTTACCTCAATTTAAATGTAAATAATTGACAAACAGAACAGGAATGGCAAAGACAAATGTTAGACAAGTCCTATCTTCAGTTTAGGATGTGAATCTAATGCAAAGAGTCACTTGATAGCATTTTACTAGCGAATACTCAACTAGGACATGGATATCAAGTCAAGGAGTAAGCGTGCTTGAGAGACTGTGGTTCTCTCCAAGATCAGACAAGATCTTCTGTGGTGCTTATCAGATGAGGCAACAGTACCAAGTTATTCAAAAGAAAGTTACAGAAACATAAATATGAATTTTGGGTGATGTGAGGGAAGAGTACTGCTGCTGCTCTCCAAGTCATGCAAAAGCAGTCAAAGCTTAAAAGCCATCCTCCTGGAGAGAAGGTACAAAGGACGGAAAGCTTTTAGAGGAGAACAAGGAGTTCTGTAAATCCCTAGCTTTTTTTTCAGTCAAATGTGTCCCTCCCTGAAAAAAAAAACAAACCAAACAAAAGAACAAACACAAACACAACAGCATTTAGGGAGATAGTGAAATTCACTACAATGCAGTGATATCAACCTGACTGAGTATATCTGGACAGTCACTCAAAATGGTCTTCAGAGTTGCTTTCAATTTTAATTTTTAATTCCTCATTGTTTGGCAAAATTTTTTTGTTGTACTGTACATGGATTTAATAAAGACATGTATTAAAGAAGACCTGGATCTTTGTGTGTTTGTGCTAAGCTTCAGCAGTAAGAGATGTGAGTGTTCCACTATCCAGTAGTCTCAGAAATCAGAGCAAGTACTTAATTTGAATGCAGGAACTAAAATAACTGTCAGTCTGTGGGGGCACCCCCCATTTTTTTTTTTAGCAAGTCCCTAATGGAACTGCATTAACGATCTGAACATAAGAGTTCTGTCTGTCACAATTTAAGAGAAAACCAAATTTACAACCTACTAGTGATGTGGGCACCTGAAGGAGCACTGTGTAACCTGCAAGTGTTTGTTACAAGTCCATCAAAAAGCACCCCATTTTTGTAGTAAACACACCAATTGCACACACTTGCATTCATTCACACAAGCATTTATCTCTAGGAAAGTAACCAAGACAAAGCCATTTCTATTATATGTAATTTAGGCTGTAATTTGTGTCACCTGTTACAGCCTCCTTGCAGCTTTGCATAAGCCGATCTCAGTCTGCATTCACTGTGTAATGTGCATTGAGAAACACTGCAGAGGCTGAACCCAGGTTTCCCTAGGTAAACCAGCATTCTCTGCAAGTTGGAACGCAGAGAAGCTCCCAGCCAAAAGACTGGAAGTCATCTGTCTGTCTGTCATTTCATAAAGTTGTAAGTGGAAGGCTAGACGGTGAACATGGCAACCAGATTTTACTTTGCCAAGACACAGAATCATCGAATACCAGGTTGGAAGGGACCTCAAGGATCATTTGGTACAACCCTGCTTGGCAAAAAAGCCCGGTCTAGACAAGATGGCCCAGCACCCTGTCCAGCTGAATCTTAAAAGTGTCCAATGTAAGGAAAAAAAATCAATCATAAAACCAACACTTACTTCAAAGTGAAATCCCTCTTTAAGTGCAATTGCCCTCAGAATTTTCGAGGAGACTGTGGTCGCTAACATGTAAACATTCTTCACATCAGCATCTTCGGAGCAGTTTTCCTTCCAGCAAGAAAACATCCACCAACCAAACAGAGCTGCTAGCTCGTTGCCAGTGAACACCTTCCAGCAGCCACTGCAGACAGGACAGAAAACATAAGAGCTCTTTCAGGCTTCCCAAGAGCATCCACACAGGGGGAGATGCTTTCTGCAGTCACTGGAACGACAGGAATCTGAGCACACTACTGACAAGCTGCTCTATACAAAGCCACCGTACCAAGAGGACTCCACATTTATCACATCTCAATGATTTACAAGCCCAGTGCGTTCTGTTAGCAAGCAAAGATACCAATTAAGCATCCTTACTGTCAGCTTTAAAACAGCTTAGGTCTTTTTAATTTATCAAAACAGAAGTATAGCAGTCTATACACTGCAGCCAGGCAATGCCTGCACAACTGCACGTTACAGACAGTTACTTACACAATGATCAGAATTTTGGCCTGTTAGTGGAAGAAAAATAATTTCTATTCAACATGATAAAGCCAGGGGAAGGAAAATAATAATTAAAAAAAAAAAAAAAAAACAACACAACCAAAAAAACCCCTAAAACAAAACAAAACCCACAAAATGAAAAAATCAAAAAGGCCCACAACAGCTAACTGTCCCAAGGCAGAAGTTGTTTGCCTAACAGAAGTGAAAAAGCAGTAACAACAAGATTTTACTGTCTTTAGTAACCAGGTAACTTTTCAGTTAACTTTTATTTGGCCAGTTACTGTAACACTGGTAAGTATTTAACATTTTCTGAGTTATTAACTGATTTTATTTAAAATACATTATTTCGGGTAGAGCTATACCAAAAGATGAAGTTAGCAAGAAAAACACCCTAATAGCTAAGTCCCAGCAGGGAAGAGTGGCTTGAAGGTGTGTGCCTGTCTACCATCTAGGGACATTTGGCAATTTTCACTACCTCTCCTGCAGAAAGAGATAAAATAGAAGGGTCCATCACTTACTTCTGCTGTTCTGCCACTGCTAGTCTATCTGCATCTGGATCAGTGGCCACTACTACTCTAGCATTTTCTTTCTCTGCAAGCCTCAGTGACAACTCCTGGTGGGAGAAGAGGGAGGGGGAAAAAAAAAAAAAAAAATCACAAGAGCACATAAACCCACAGTCTTCCTACTTACACATAAAATGCAGTGAAAGAAAAATCTCATATGGATTGCCCACCACTATATTAACACAGCTGAGAAGTCAGGTACTCCCTGTTCTCTTCCTTGATTTGTTTTTCAACACAGTATGTTACCCAAACAGAGGAAAGCTCATAGAAATCTGATGAAGTAGAAACAAAAATACCAGCACAGATTCTCCTTCTTCAGGATTTGGGCATTTGACAGTAGAAAAGTCTGGATCTGGATCTTTTTGTTCAGGTACTGGGATGGGGGGCTGAAAACCAAATGCTTTGAAAGCCAACTGCACGTAGTCATGTCCAACTCCATGAAAAGAGGTATGAACAAACTTCAAATTTGTTTGCATGTTTAGCTCCCTGAGAAGGAAAGAAGAATTTCAGTAAGATTTTAGTTATTTAGCAAGACTACTTTCATGTGGGAAAGCAAAAGCAAATGCAATTACACTTTGTACTATTCTTCTGATTTCTGCATTAATTTCAAAGGAGGAATGAGTAAAAAGTGGTCATTTGAATTTTCACTAGAAGTTGCTGGTTTAAAGCTTCTCCTGGAAAATGAGGTACTTACCTTCTGCTGAATCAGCTGAAAGTCTCCCAAGAATGAACTGTTAATTTCTGCATCAAACTTGAGCTCTTCCACCATCCTGAAGATCTTACTCCAGCTCCACTCTACCTACACTATTCATCTTCCTCCTTTTATTCTTGTCTTCTGTCCCACCTAACCTTCAACTTAATCTTTTCACCTCTGTTCCACGCACGTACACCTCACCTTTACTCTGAATTCCAGCATTTTATTCAGAACTCTGAGTATATTCATTTGCATAAAAAGGCTCACATCAGGGTACTTTACTATAGCCTAGTGTCCAAAGTCAGGAGGCTTTACTGTCAAGAAGTATGGTTTCGTCCTAATGATGGTGACCACCTAATTTAAAGACACATCAGATGAGGCAGATGACCAAAAATTACTCCCACCACGAAGAGCACAGAGCAATGGCCTCAAGCAGACAGTGATGTCTGTGGCAGAGTCGAGCACCCAGCTTCCGTGAACCGTAAAGACAGAAATCGAGTCACTGATTTGTGACAATAAAAATCACTACAGGCAGGTCCAAAACTATTACAATTTTGGAGGACAGCCCAATCCCTATACCCAAATTGCAAAGCTCTACTATTGAAGTCAATCTGTCAGCAGTCGGTTTTCTACATGTAACCCAGAAGTTAAAAACATTATTTAAGTACATTTTGTTTTATACAATACCTGTGATAACAGATCCTTTTCAGATCCTCCATGTAACAGTCACAAATTTTCTTCAGAGGATCCTGTCTAAGGGGACTGGTGTCTACTAGATTCTCATTCCAAGAGCCATTCCATGGTTCAACACACTCTTCTATACATTTTATAATTTCCTTATCATGAGGAGAGGTGATCTGTGCTCCATTTTCCCAATAAACCTGGTATAAGTTTAAGGAAAACAAAACACAGTTTATTCACAAAGATTATTAACTTGATAAGTTCTTTTAGCTATAAGATTCTGCATACTTCTGCTTCTTGAAGTCATACAGAAAAGACTAGTACCAGACTGGCTTGATTCTCAGAAGTCATTTGGAATCAGAGTTATGTGATAACTACTCAGCAACACGACCTAGTTTCAAAAAAGTTGGTATTCAACTATGCCTGAACTCATCAGGACATGAGAAACTGAAATTGGGCACTTATATTTGAGAGTGTTTTGCAGACTGTAACAGAAGAAAAACATTACCTTCTACACAGTCTGGCATTCCTTCTGAAAAAGAAGCACAACTTGTTTTTGAAATCAAAGCAAAACAGATAAGCAGTGTGCCAAAGTACATGTTTTTCCGTAACTGAACAACTGTGATCCTTCAGCTGGAAACACTATCAAATACTGGACTATAAAAAGTCTTTGTTAAAGAATTATTTAGATGCCAGTTTTCCCACAGTTTGTTTCCAATAGCATGGTTGAGTTCACAGTGCAGACTTTCTACTCAGACCAATCTCTTTTCTTGTCTGATGGCTTTCATGAAACCCATAGGTACTCAGAATCTTCAACACTAGGGGTTAGTCAAGTTTAGTTAAAATTGTCCAAAACATTCAGAAGCTGCTGAATTCACATGGGAAATAGTGAACGATAAAATAGTTTTTGTGAAAGACCAGAAAAAGCAATATCCTGAACAAGAGTAAAATGTTTTGTATCAGAAGACACAAACGTAACAGCTTCTTGATAAATGAAGCACCTGAAAATCTGACGTGGCTTATTTTCTTATTGTTAGAGTTAAGCAAAAGTAAAGGTTGGTGAAGCACTTCACAACTTGTTCCCCAGAGGACAAGTGCAGTACAGTCACCTCCAAGAGTTATGTCTGTGCAGAGTAAGGCTGCTGCTCCTACCCTTGGCATTATCCACCGATCTGTTACTACGCTTCTAGAATGGTAAGTTAGTTACAGTTTAGACTATAGTTCAGATTCTTACAAAGTTTAGAAACGAGATACTGTGTTACAATACTGCATAAAGCAGCATTTGCTATTTTGGATGGTTATACTGTTCCAAGCTTTCAAAATAAAGCCACCCACCCCTCTCTCTCAATGCCCAGAAAAAACAACTTTATTGGGAGCAACACGGTACTACAAAGTTTTATTAGCCAACTCTTGAACTGTCACCGTCTTCAGCACAGTTACCTACTAATGCATGGACTAATTCACCTAAATCCTATCTTAGTTTTAAACTACTTTTTAAGTCTAAGAAGCAAACACATAATAAATTGCTTAAGCATTTCTTCAGCTGCTGATTAGACTCTACAGAATGTCACAACAGACTTGTGCTCAAGATACACAGTGTGGTCTTAAGTTCTAGTTGCAGAAGAAAGCGCATGTAATTCAAGTTACAGAAGGATCAATTACTTGAAATCATTTCTCCTAATGCACACACACGCGTGCTCCAGAAGCCACCAAATGCCAAAGGCATGTAGGTAATACTGGAGAGCAGCTGGCTGGGATGTGCTATGAACTTCAAGTTCAAGCCTTACCTTGTATCCATTGTCCTCCTTCCGGTTGTGGGATGCTGTGATCATCACACCAGCCACAGCTTTGAGCTGCTGAACAGCATAGGGCTACAAAGAAAACCCAGAAATGTCAATTTACCCACGAGTTCTGCCTCTGGCACAAAAAACACTGTATTAGTAGAACGGTTATGCAATAGGATGCTACAGGAGAAGTGGTTCTTCATGTTTCACCAGTTTATTTGAAAATTGTTCACATGAATGCTCATCGTGTAGCTAGCAATAGAGAAATCTTGTTCTATTCCCTCGCATAGGAACATTATTCTATTTACCAATTACATAAACACAATTGTTAACTGGTCAACTAAAGAAAGTCTACTCCCAGATTGCACTAGTATTTAAGAGATGATAGTTTGAAACAGAATGAAGGAATTCACCCAAAGGCTTGCTGAAAAATAAGACACGGGTATTTCCAGCTAAGGAGCATCCAATCCCTTCATCCCTCCCCTCGAAACAAGACCCATAGCATACACAGCACTCTAGAAAAACCTGCAGAATAGAAAATGTGGACTTAAAACCCTACAATAAAAGGCTTCTGCAACTACAACAGAAAGCTCTATTTTTTCAGATATTAAAAGTAGAGGCAATCCTTCATTTCTTCCACTCTAAGCAGTGCAAGTCCTATATAGAAAAAACCATACAGTCCCTACATATGTGCATATATTCACATACACCTATGACTCTTATGATACCCAGGTGTTTAAGCACAGAATAAAAGAACAGGAGATTGCTTCACCTGTAAATAAGACAGCAAAGCCTGGACTGCAATAACTAGTGCCCTCGCATGGCAGCCTAGGGGGAAACATGATTCTATTGACTACGCACACAGAAGAGTTCAGCAACATTCTTGTTACAGCCCCCTTGAAGAGCCAAGTGTACCAAGCAGCCTCTATTTTTCTGTTTAAATAATGGAATTTGAGAACAAAATTGCTAGTTCACATTTTTAGTAAACTTTTAAATACTCCCTTAACTGCACGGTACAACAATATCAAAGAGAAGATGACTCACCACAAACGGTGTAGGGACATATGTGGAAAAGAAGTATACAGGTACATCTTTAGCCAGCAGGACTGCTGCAGTGAACTTTGCAAGTCTACCGACATGAAAAAGAAAACATTTAGTCAATCCAACTCCTCACAACAATCCAATAGCCATATGGTATTACTGTAACCTTCATTTCACTTGTTTCTTAAATCTATTTATTTTTTGGCTTACAGCAAGAATAGTATCCTACAGTTTGTAAAGTCAATGCAATACAGTTTTCAGGCTGCAGAATCCAAGACAGCAGGTTTTTTTTGATGCTTGAAGAGCACAAGGCACTTCAGCCAACCATGTAAATAAACCAGTGATATGAAAAATAAAGATACAGAATCTACTGGTGTGACACTTGTCCTTCATTCAAGGACAGAACCAATCACCCAGAAAGTTTAAAGCACCAGATGTCTGCAAGAGCAGGTTTGGAAAAGGATTCAGCATCCCACACAGCAAAGCTTGTTTGCCAGCCTTGTTCAGCAGCTTCAGACAACATCCACGAAGCAGATCTATTCCTAAAACATACTTCTGTAAACCAGCACACTCTTATTCCAGAAAGTTTAAAAACAGTTACAGCACCCGTGTTTTTAAACCTTGCCCTTATTATAAACTTTTCCTTTCAAGCAGCATGGAAACTCACTCCCTTTCAGGTAGCTGTTTGATATGAAACTGTTTTTTTCAAGTCAGGTACACACAGCTCAGCAATTAATGGGAAGTCTCAGAGTCAAAACAGATGAGAGATTAAATAGTTTAAGTTTGCTTTGCTCACTCGTTTTTACAGACAAGAATTAATACCAGCTTCCTTATCTCCCATCATGAGTATACTGTGGGCTAAGTTTCAGTTACTCAGAATTTCACTACAGCAGCTATCAAATGTAACCTGAAACCACTTCAAAAGAGTTTGAGAGCTCAGCTTGTAGATGAAGCTTCTGAAATTTTGCCTGTGTATCACAAGAGTTTATGTCAACTTAATTACAGGATACAGCCAGACGGTCTGCCACCTCCCTCGGCACTGGAACTGATGCAAAGAAAGGGGCACTCCTGTTCACAGGGTGTTGGATAAGCATGCTAATCCAATTTTGTGGAGCTTCACTTTGATTTTAGCACTACTGTAACCCTGTGTCATCCCAAGGGGACAAAAGATCCATGTAGTTGAGAACTGATCTGCTCCTTTAACATGTGAAACACTGTGCTGCCATCATCTGAATTCCAAGCTTTGTGTGAATGAAAAGGAATGTTCTCCTTACAGTTCCACAATTTTAAGCTGTGCATAACCCAGACAACTTGGGTAATGGCCTTGCAAACACAGTGTAACAGGAGTTTAAAACCCTTATGCCAAAGCCTGGTGGATAATGTGCCACATTTATCTGAAGACCAGACAGGAAGGTGTGGAGAGGCAGACTTCAGGGGAATGGAGAAACTCTTAGGAGACAGTCACTAGATTCTGTGCTCTACTATACCAAGAGCTTTTACATCCCCAGAATATTCATTTTTGACAAAAATAAATTAAAAAAACAAACTACATTAGTTACAACAATTAACTACAATAACTACATTAACTACAATAATTATTTACTCATTAACTAGATAATAATTAGCTACTGGCTTGGCTTTTTTGTAAGGCATGCCATTACAACATGTGTTTTTCTCCCTGAATGAGAAGGGATTAGGATTCCTTACAGAATTCAGAAAGCAGTTCTTTAACAGATCCTCTCCCCGCTTTCCTTGGAAAGAGCACAATTTGACATTTACATTTTAAGCATTCCAGGTAAAATATTCCCAATGTGGAAATACACTGGCATCACAGACTAGCATAAAGGTACCAAAATACTGGGTTACAGTAGGCTGCAGGTAGAATTCTTCTCCCCCAAGCAAGCTTAAACCAGATGCGTAATACAAAAGAACAACAGTGTTAACAATAGTGCATTAATATTTAGTGATTTCAAGCTAGATGTTAGTATTCTGAATTTACCTTCACATTCAAATTTCATTCTGGGCATATCAACTTCTTAATGTCTGCCTAATGTTCTCGTGCATTTAGACTGTAAATTCTTTGCTGAAGTGACTAGCCTTACATTCCACATTTGCTGGCAACTGGTATTATAAAGGCTTTAGTCCATGCCTCTCTTCATTACTATTTAAATGGACTAAAGGAGGGGAGTGTGCACAGTTCATGACAAAAATATACTGATAGAACAGAATGCATTTAAAGCCACAATTTAATTTCTAGTCTTGCAAATGTAATCAATACTCATACTTCTTACTGCTGCAGTTGCTGGTCACCTGACCTCGTGTGTCATATCCCACAACAAAGCCTCTCTGCTTAAAGTCTGAAAAACACCTCTCAAGATATTTGTAGATCCCCTGGAAAGAAAAAAAAAAAGAGAAGAAAAAAAAGGTAGGGAAGAATTAGTTCTAGTGCATCAGACACAAACATTAAAAAATATCTTTCACATTGGATGTATAATGTCAGTAGGCAAAATACTGCTCAGCAAAGGCATCAATAATGGTATTCACAAAAGCAGCATATTTATTTTTCCTCAAAGCAGTCACAGAAAGAAAGCAAGCAAACGGAGAAACAGTTGTGGGAAATAAAAGCAGTGTAACAATAAGTGACCAAACAGCATAAACAGAAAGCTCAAGCCCACAAAATCCTCAAGCAGCAAACACTTGTTTTCAATCTGTAATGTGCTTTTATTTATTCAAGCCATACTCTTAGACCCAATTGAGAAAAATCCATTTTGTGAAAGAACATCCACTTGAGCAATATAAGGCTAGTGCTAGTCAGTGTTAGTCTTTCTCCTTCTGTTCACAGTACAAGTCAGATACCTTTTCTACACTGCTTCCAGCGTTAGTTCTAAATTTGCATTAAAAGGATGCTTCATCCTTACCCACTTTTCCAAACAAAAGTTTATTACTAGTGACCTGTTCCAGGTGAACAGATTAAAGTCCTCCATTTATATACATTTATACACTACGCAGATACAACAGCACAAGTGGAGTCTTCTATACATCAAGGCAGAACATTTCCAATGGCAAGATATCAGAGAAGACCCTCATGCAGGGAGAAGAAAGGGGATCAGATGAAGGGAGGAAAATTTTAAAACACATTGGAAGTGAGAAGAAATATGTGCTGAAACATACACAGGAGAAAGTCTCTCAGTCAGCCACCCCTTCTTTTCAAAATAGGAGGGGATAGGTGCTCTTTGAAACAGTGCATTACATGGTGTCCCAGCTTCACTGTCCCTGGGGCCTCCAGATCCATTCACTTCCCAGTTAGAATCTCTCCAGCACAGAAACATCCCAAGGTAGATTAGCAGTTTTAGACAAAAAGATGGAAGCACTACTGTTAAGGGAATTTTCCAGAGGCCACAGTTCACTCCAAAAGCAGCCTTCCCCAACACGAACACAGCACTGCAAACCTGCCACAGCCAGGCTCATCTTAGAAAAAGCTATCTGTTACGAGGGTACAAACTTCCTCTTGATAGAAGGGCTAAGGGTGTTTTGTATTAGAATTAAATAGATTTTTGTTCCAGTATTCAGTGCAATTCTCTGCAATGTCCTTCTCTGGATCTGACTCAGTATCACCAATAAGCAGTCTCTCAACTGGAAAGCTAGCCTGACTCCTACCCATGAAATTCAGTTGAGCTCCATTTTTTTAATGGTTATTTCCCTTTCCACCAGAGCATGTACTGCAAACACAAACAAGTGGATATTGGCATCTCTTTGGAAAAATCATTTCAGCCACAGATGTAGTGTTTCTATAGCGGGGTTCACAGAAAGAAAAAAGAAAACAATTTAGTAACTAAAAATCTTGAAATTCTGATGGACTAGAAGGTGTGCCATGGCATGATGGCCAGCTGAAGTCATCTTCATACCGAACTGAAATGTGTCAATACACAAACATGTTTGCACTGCCCTAACAAATTCAAGAACTTTCATTCACAGTTGTAAAGCGATTTGAGACAGAGGAATGGGAAAAACTTGTTCAAGTTTGACTTGAACAGACTGACTAACACTTAGAGATCAACAACAGATTTCTTATCAACAGATCCTTATTTAGACCAGCAGTATTTTGCGATCAGAGGACATTGCAGAGTTTTATCTGTATCAATTCCTCAAACATCAAGAAACTGCATCCCGCCCCCCCAAAAAAAACAACAACAAAAATGATTTAGAGAAGCGGGACCCTATTAGACAAATTGGTATTAATTAGAAGCAGAAAATAGGGACATATAAGCTTTTTTAGAAGCAGCATGAACCAAGGTAAATTCTGTTAGAACCACTAACACTCCTGTCCACATAAGGTCAATACATTAGAAACAACAAAACACTTTTTAAAGATGTAAAAAGTATGACCCACAATTTCTAGGTCACACTGACTGCCCAGGAGCAATCCCTCGGCAGCAGAGGCATCCCTTGAACCTTCCGGCAACCCTGGCATCTCCAGGATTCTGCACATCACATTTCTTCCTCACCCCTCACTTCCCAGTGCCAACCATCATAGCTGGTTTGGCTTTTTGGCACTAATGCCCACACCCTTATACATCTCCCAGGTTTCTATTCCCTCCTTTCCTCAAACACAGAAGAGTCGATTTATTTTTGTTGCAAAGTAAGGGCCTATATTGATTTTATTAGTAAATTTGGTCTTCTGTACTTTCTCCCCTGCACCTCATTCCAGCTATTTCTGCCTGAGCATTTTTAGCAGCTATTGGGTGCTGCTATAATCTAACACTCTCCTCAAGGGTGAGGTGAGATTTTTTTTCCCTAGGATGCCCTCTTAAATCCACTTCATTGTTTGACAGGGATCAAAGATTTCATATTAATAAAAAAAAAAAAACAAATGTCTTTACTTTCTGCCATGGAGGAGTTTTGCTTAAAATCAAAACAATACAATATGTGGCACAAGAACAAAAATACCCAAGCCTAACCAAAGATCCCACAGCTGGAATTAGTCCTGAGCTACTGGACTTGTTTACTATCCAAATATCTTTATTAAAGCTGCAGGAAATAAAAATAAATTAAAAATGACAGTGAGCAGAAATGAATGCAGAGGGTCTCCACCATCTGAACCCTCTACTCAAGCTCACAGATATTTTTTTTTTCCACAGGCCATTCTCCCTTTCTCTGAGGGCCATTAGTAACTCCAATACCTCTTGGAATAAATCCTTTCTTTCATAAATTTCTCCAGTTAAGGAATTCCTTTTTGCAAGACTCAGGTTTTCACAGTGTCCCCATCTAATTTCTCCTAGGATAGCTACTGCTTCTAAACTGAAGATATCCAAGTCAACATCTTCCCATTACATACTTGTTGATAAGTAATAGCTTATTAACAAGTGTCAGCATACAAATGTGTAACCGCTTCAGTGGATCTAAAACAAAATTCTCTTTAGGTGCACTGAAGCATTACAAGTATTTATACTACTGCACAGTGCAGGTGATTTTGTGATATAAAATTCACTGACATCTAGTCTGCTTCTACTGCCATGTTTTAAATAATCCTCTTGAGCCTTCAGTCCCTTACAACAATTTCAAAAGAGAAGTGAGGAGAAAGTGATGGTATCAAGAATGGGATGGAAAGATTTTTCCTTGATGAAATCAAGAGAGAGAACAGCTTTATAATGTCCAGTATTTAAATCTTTCAACTATTATTTTTAGCTTTGCCTATAAAGCAACAGGCTACTCACAGCAATAATGCAATGAGTAGCTTTTGTCATTGTGGAGGTCAGTGATGGGTTACTTATCTTTTAATAAAAGCAATTAGCTCAGCAGGACAAGCAATACTTGAGCAGGAAAATCTACGCTTTATGTCTAGGTTCTGTATCTACGAACTTCAGAAGAGTCAAAAGCAACTTCTGCATACTCTCTACCTTTCTGGATCTAACTTTTCATGGCATCAATATAATTATGCAAATGAAGAGCACAGCATGCGCTTAAGCATGCAACTTAACTAAGGTTTATTTTAATGGAAGGAAATAATTTAATTACACTGAAGTCTACTGTTTTGAATGGTGATTTATTCCTGTAGAAGGTAATGTCAAATACTGAGAGACAGGGTTGCCCATTTTCAGATTAGGTTCAGCAAAACTGTTAATATCCTTAGCTTCTAAAACAACAGTACTCAAACAAAGAGAATAAATGCAGTTCACTTCAGAAACAAGTTCTAATCCGCTTCCCAGAGATTGCTTTTTCTAACTTGATATACAGCTTTAATAAACAACTAAAAATAGAAGTTCCACAGAGGGAGCAAATGAATACAACCCAGTTTATTACTTCCAGAAACCGGTAATGCCTATGAAACTGAGCTTACAAACACATTCCCCGCTGACCAAAATGAAACTTTTCACTTTCTGCCAAGAATGCTATCAGTCAGCCAATCCAAGTACAGTCACACTTTCACGAGACTGGAAACACAAAGGCAGCATGCAGTGTTCAGGCGCTCAGAGCGTGAGCAACTCCAAATTCAGCGGACTGCACAGGACAAAGAGTAAAGTGACTATTTCTTCCTCTGCATTATCAAGATGTTTACTCTGCTTCAAAGCAAAGTGGACTTGTTTAAAGCAACTTCGCTACTCTTAACAATTCCATCGCTGGCAACAAACTACTAGTTTTTAAACTATTTTTTTCTTAATCTCTTCAGCTTCTTCCCTGTGGATCAGTAGAGACCACCTGTACCACATCAGTCCCTTTTGTTCACAGCATTACAGTATTTGTGGCAGATGAGTCTGGCATGCTTCGATCGGTAAGGCTAGAATTAAAGGAAGCATCATTCTAAAATGTGTCTGGTTTATAGGTTTGAAACTTAAAGAAAAGTTTCTGTTAGACCCAGGACAGCACTGAAGAGAAAAACACAGCCAGATGCAAGGTTGGATTTCAACCAATGAGTTCCAACAGGCCACTTCTTTTCAAAGCCTGTATAAACAGCTATTGGAATTTGGTTTCTCCGCAAGAGTTTGGGCTCCAGTTGTACAAGTCAGATATTAGCAGTACGTCAAACAGCTTAAGAGTCCCAGCTGTTCCAGGTTTTAAGCACACCACTTCACCCAGAGCCAACAACAGAAAACAAATTATTTCAGTCATGTCTACTGAGGAACTTCTATCAGAGCATTAACCCGCAAAGAGACAACTATTTTAAAGTGCTTAAGTACACAGTATTAAATGAAAGATTTTATCAACCCTTTGTAAATCATGTAATAAAACACCTTTTATCATATGGCTGAAGGTCCATTTATAAAAAAGTACTTGACAAAGTAGATAAGATTCAGTAGGTTTGTCATAATGAAAACTTTTTATTGATGTCCCAAGCACAATGGTTACAAATATATCAGTTCATTATATTTCCCCCAGCCAAGACTAAAGGAGATAACATAAGGTGTTTAAGTATATTTAATATACACAGTCCAAACCCATTTGTATTTTATATATTCATAAGGAAAGGAAACAATGGAACATCCATTTTCTGACTCAGGCTATTAGTCTTCAAAAGGATTCAACACTTGTCTTTCCTTGCCTCCCACTACCTTCACTGAGGTGAGAGAAAGCTGTATTTTGCAGATTCTTAATCTGACTGCATTTTGCTTAATACTTACCATAATAACGTATGTGCAAGATTGACTGTTGAAGTCAGGAATGATAGTTGAACAGGACTACAACCCTGGATAAATCAATGTTCAAATTCAGACTCAAAGTCTGGATAATATCAGATCAATGTCAAATGTATACCAAATTAATTTTTCATGAAGTTTAGTTGCGAAAGTAGTAACTTAATCATAAATTGTTTTGTGGAAAAATTGATAGAGGAGCACATCAGCAGAAAAGCACCCTAGCACTGTACAATAAGCAAATTTAAGAACAAATCCACCATGAGACGGCGATATAGAAAAGGAGCATGGATCACTTGTGATCAAAAACCTAAATCATCATTAACTGTTCCTTCCAAATGAGTTTATTGAAAAGGTGAGGAAAGAAATGAGACAACTGGGGACCAAGTTCTTTGAGAAAGGATAGATCATCTGTCCTTGAACAAAACAACACTTTAAAGAAAAGCGGAGATGATGAAGCTTTATATTAATCAACAGGTTCATTTATTCAATTAACACACTTACAACTCATTAACATTGTTAGAAATAGAAGCAGAGAGGGAAACTGAGAAGAATCTGATAATTTTCCAGCCCTCTTCCGGCATGCAAGACCAAAACTGGAGGAAAAAAGATGGGTAAAAGAATCATGGACTGGTTTGGGTGGGAAGAGACCTTAAAGCCCGCTCCCCCCTCAGTGCCACCCCCCTGCCCTGGGCAGGGACACCTTCGCCCAGCCCAGGGTGCTCCCAGCCCCATCCAACCTGGCCTTGAACTCTTCCAGGGATGGAGAAGCCACAGCTTCCCTGGGCAAGAATAAGAAACAAGTCCAGAAAATTGTATTTCTAGTTGTTAATCAACTTAAACAGCTAGTCAAAAGAACCAAAAACATGGTTCAAGGGAAAGATGTGTCAGAAGTGAGGAGTCTCTGCCAGCAGGCTTCCCCACCACAGAACTGATACCATCCATGACTCCATGGCAGCCTCTATATCCAGCTCCTCAACATCATGTACCATCTTTTGTGCCCTTCCAAATGTACATTCAGCACCACCACCAAGTGGAGCCTAACCTCTGGCAGAGGAGCAGATTAGGACTAAAGCCTTCCTGCCCAAAACTTTACCCCACATGAACATCCATCCCATCAGACCCTTTCCAATACTAATACACAACTATCAAAATGGCAGTCAAGAGCTAAATCTAGGTTCTAAGATGTCCCTGTCTGTATTCAAAACAAAAAGTCTATCCCAAAATATTCTACAAACTTCAAAGAACTAGTCCTCGAAAAGATCAACATCTGTTTACTATGTTTTCTCAGCAAATAATTCTATAATGGTATCTGTAACCCAAACACACAGATGTTAAATCATAGATAAACCATGAATCAGAGACCTCTCTGATACAGTATGGAACATAAGATTTGCAGTTTGAGAGTTCAAGTTTGTATCTCAAATTACTTTCCTGCATCTCTACTTAAAAAAGTGCCAAGAGCTACAGACAGAGCTACAGCAACGCCAGCGCACTAAACCACAGTATTTTCTACAACTATCCAATTCAGCTGTAGGGAACACAGCCAGTGTTACTGGAAGGATTCCCCAGAAATTAAACAATTTACAATACAGATGTTCTTCACACTCGGTATACGTTTGCTTTTTCATCTTACTTCCTGTTCATTTTCTTAGTAAAACCTGATACTTTTGTAAAGTTATTCACAACTTTGGCTAAAAACAAAAGAAAAGGCTTGTTTGATTGGAGGTAAGTTTGCTTTTTGAGTTTTCTTGGGGTTTTTTATTCAGTTTTTGACAAATACTAAAAGTTCTTATGACAACTAATGATTTCCAACTACAAAGCAGTAAAGTAGACTAACTACTGGCCAAATTCCAGTGGAAGTGATCATATTCCACCTCCTGGGATGCCCAGTTAAACCTATTCAAGCTACTTTATTTTCTTTCAGCACTAAACATTTCATGCTATCACTCTACTGCTGAATGGCTGCTGTGTTTCACCCTCAGCTCGTCTATCACTGGTACGCTATAGGACACAAACTTTTACTGTGAAACCATTCAGTTCTCTCCTGTGCAACTCTTCAGCTTACCTGGGTGGACTGGATCACTGTAAGATCATTAATGTAGCAAAAGCCTGCTCCCATAGCAGAGCGAAGCCCGGCAGTCCCAAAGGTCAGCCTGCAGCAGAGACGATCCCGTAACTCTTTATGCTTTCCATTCTGTAACAAGCTTTCAATTTGTTCTTTTGTTTTTTGGTTCTGCAAAAGAAGATTAAGGTCTTCATTTAGTTTTTGAAATCAGGACCTGAACTATATGCTCATTGTTTTTAAATACTTCCTAGTTCTCAATGTGACAAGTTCTTCCCACTCTATAAAATGCCTGTCTGCACAAACTAGCCTTCATTGTAACTCTAATTTCTATTGTATTCTCTCTTCTGTACCATCCCTATTTATAACAGAGTTGAGAGCTCTTGATGCCATTAATAAGTTGATGTGTTTGCCCAGTCATTAACACATCTTCCAGCTACATGAAGCCTGTAAGCCAGGAGCACAGATTTTAGAACAGGTTTTTCCAAGGCAGGTAGCACAAGTTAATTCTCCATCTATGCTGCTGGAAGACAGACAAAAATGCTAACTTCAAAGCAGTATTTCCTTCCTCCCCACCCGCAGGAAAGGTCTGTAAACAGACAGGGTAAAATAAAACAGACATTGTAAAACCAAAAATAAAGCTTGTCTTTTCAAGTTAAATTAATCGTTGGTGAAGTGGGTACAAGAGAGTCAAAGCCTCTATTTACCAAAATTTCTCAAATAAAGATAAGTACTTCTGACAGAAAAACCTACCTATTTTTTATTCTTTACCTTTTCAATAGATACACTGGATATGTGTAGGTTGGAAAAAAAAAAAAAAAAGTCCTGCTCCTGAAGGTATCACATAGCATCATTACAACAGCCATTCTCACTACTCTCCAAACTTAGATTTTTAACTGTATTCAGGAGGATCTCAAGAATCTTGTCAGTAAACCCCAGATAATTAAAAACGATTTTCCCCAATTACTTACAAGTTCGGAAAAAATGCATTTTACACAGAGTACATGATATAGCCACTAAACAAAGAATTCTCCAATGAAATCACTGGATGTATATTTAAGAGCTACTATCTTTCTGAGGAAAATAAAAAAAAATCTGCTCCCAAAAGCAGTACTCATGTCAGTGAAACATAACTTTATTGTTGGTCTTAGAGAACACGAAGATAGCAGTTGCTTTATGCTATGCCTCTAAAACCAGCAAAATACACACCCACTAACCTACTCAGAGGAAACATTTAAAAACAAAATACTAAGTAAATCAGTTTTTGATGTATATATCAATATATAAACAGTCTTATGGCTCATATGGAAGAGTCAGAGACATTCTCCCTTTCTGGTATCACTGTTAGCTGATTGTTACCCCACTTCAGCTACACTTGCATAGCTTATGGCAACTGAAAGCTCCCTGCAGCGACGTGCTGATGCCTGTACAGCACGTATCGAGGAGGGCACTTGCTTGTAAGCTGCTCTGCCGGTACCTGGAAGAGGCCGTACCCCGTCAGACCAAAGGGCTGCTTGGTCCAGCACCCTGACAGCAACTGTCAGCAGATGCCTAGAAAAAGGGTTACAAGGACAGTGCAATCACGGTGGGAAGCTGGACAAGGATGAAAGGGCAATCTCAGTATTTCCATCGTAGGGAGTCCCTGATCTGCACAGGAGGGCTCCTTGTACCAACAGAAGGGATACAAACACCAGACAAAGCAGGACAGAACATTTTACAAAATGTTGTCATCCCACGCCTTTATCATCTAAAGCCCGTGACTGAAATGAATGGCCACTTGACAGGGAAAATATTTGGCTAAGTAAAACAGTAGGAAGCAATTCATCTGATCTGAAAGCCACTCCATTTTGAACAGAGTCACTGCGTTTATGAAAGAATGTGCTTGTCATGTCCATGTAAAGAGAATACATTTACTCTCATTCACAGTTCAGCTGAGGAAGTGATTATACACATCTCAAAGACTTAACTCGAGTATTTACCTTAAGATAGGAAATGCTACAATCCTAGGAGTGTTTTAAAGTCAATCCTATGCAGTGCACAGTATGTTATGTAGCAGGGTGGATAAGAGACACTGATTATTGAAATCTCCCTCTGTTCAATCAGTATTTTGCTAAACTTGCATCACTCTCAAAGCTATGAGCTTCCAAGTGTACCAAACACACATACGCACACTATTTGTTCTTCATAGTTTATTCTGCACACTCAACCAATATTGATGCTAGGGAGCAATGCGGGAAAAATCAGGAAACTTGAGTATTAATTAACCATGATGATTAGAATTAGATAGTTATGATAATACCGACCACATTATCCTGGACATGCCTGGGGGAAAGCGAGAGATGGTGAGTCCAATTTGACAAACAGTGATAGAAGAGTATCGAAGCCTGTCCTTTTACAACACGCACTAACAGGGAATGATTCACCCATAGGATGCTGTCTTTAAAGAAGTGAATGAGTAAGTACCCATATTTTATAACATGGGGATTTTGAAAGCTCTGTAAATTCATTTGGTCATCGCAAACTCAGCCTGCCTACTGACATCCAGTTTGGAGAAGACCCTTCACAGTGCCACCCTGCCAGGCTTGCTGACGACAGACAGCGAAGACGACAATCGATACACAGCTGTAAAAACCAGTGACTCCCACTGTGTAAGTACAGCTTAGGCTGCACAAGTGCTGCTCTAAAACAAATGGTGTTTCAAGCAGGGTCCCAAGAAAGGGTTAAAAAAGGCAAATGGAATCTGAAGGCAAGGGTGAAGCACCACTGACATTTAAAACAGAGGTCAGCCAGCTTCAGCTCCCAAACTGCCTGCCACAAGGCAGCCTCTGCAGCACCAGGAAACGCTCTGCACAGAGGGAGGTTCTTCAGGAGGATTTGAAAAATGCTGGGAAAAGCACCATGATATGAGTTGAACACTTTCATTAAGAAAAAAAAATACTCAATAAAACTTGTTGAAAAATTTGAAACTATTACCACATCTTGATAACATATCTTGAACATTAGCAAGATGAGACATGAATTTCAAATAAATTTTAATTTCTTTTTGAGTTAAAAGGTAAGGCATTATTGTTCAGGCTCTCAGATGGCTCTGCAACCAAAGCAAGCCATTACTCATAACACAGCTGAAAAAAAGCCTAAAAATAAAACAAAAGCAATGGGGCACAACAAATATTAAATCCCAGAAGTGAAAGCTTCTCTTTTAGCTGTTCATAGGCAGTCAACCAGAAAACAAATGACTAATCTGAAAAGAATCCGAGGCAAGAGTACACGAAAACCTCATTTCACACTATCATAATTCAATACATAACTTTGCTTTAAAATAAGGTTATTAAATTACATAGCATCTTTAATAGCTTTTTAGGATATGCTGTATTGCTTCCCTGCAAAAATCGGATAACGTGTAGTACATTACATAGCGTACGGTATGGAGTTCTGCAAAACCCAGGCAAGGCTTTCCTGAAGCAGTAGCACAAACATGTATTTTACGAATAGACTAACATGCATTTTTGATTGAAGCTACCTTATTTATTTCCTAGGAAACAAAAATAAGTCAGCCAAAATAGCATCCAAATAACATTTTAATTTGCTCAGGTTGCACTCAGTTAGCTAAAATTCCCTGCAATCAGTAAAGAAGAAAGGAAGAAAAAAATTCACAAGTTAAAGAAGAGAGTCTCAAAGCTTTCCACGGGTGACCTGGGCATCTCCTGGCGCAACAGAAAGTAATTTTACAAGACTTGGTATAAATTCAGATGTGGTGATGATCTGTCTCACGCTCTGGGTTACGCATTCGACAGCATCAGAAGACTGATCTCAAGACCGCTGTTATCCCAGCCATCCGTGGCACAATCCTTACTGCTTTTCGTTGTTCCCTCCAAGATGGAGCTTCAAAGCCTACAGACCAGTTTAGCTTCTTCCAACGTACTGCTTGGGTATGAACACCACTTACCATACTAAGCTGGGAAATTCCAAAGGCACTGCAGTCAAGTGGAGCTAAAAGATAACAATAGCTTCCACCACTGAAGTTTAGCCCTATCGCAAATTCTCAAAACCCAGGGGTTTTCTGCTGTTTTGCTTTACAGTTATGAAATAAAGTAATACATCTGAAAGTTTCACAGTAGCTCTTATGAGCGTTCATTTTTCAAAGTGGTGAAAGTTTCACAGTAGCTCTTATGAGCGTTCATTTTTCAAAGTGGTGAAAGTTTCACAGTAGCTCTTATGAGCGTTCATTTTTCAAAGTGGAATAGTTGCAATGTTAAAACACGCAACAGACTTTAACATCAAAGACTGGGATTATGAAGAAGAAAGCCTAGTATGCCTTTATGCAAAGCATATTTTCTGAAGTCACTGGTACCACTGTAAAGTCTCTCCATCAACACTAACTTTCCTGTCACATGAAGCAGAATGCACTAGGAGGGGATATCAGATTAGTCAAGCTATGCAGCATCACACTATATTTCTAGATTCCAAGGAAATATCACTCCCACCTATGAATGCAGTTACATGACACTGAGGTAAAATGCTTACTAGCAGCTTTAAGTAGTTCATCAAGATGCTCGTGGGACAGGGCAATCCCCAGCACAAATCCAGGCTGGGCGAGGAGGGGATGCAGAGCAGCCCCAAGGAGAGGGACTTGGGGGTGTTGGTGGGTGGAAAACTGCCCGTGAGCCAGCACCGTGCGCTCGCAGCCCAGAACCCACCCGTGCCCTGGGCTGCAGCCAGAGCAGGGGGGGCAGCAGGGCCAGGGAGGGGATTCTCCCCCTCTGCTCCGCTCGGGGGAGACCCCCCTGCAGTGCTGGGGCCAGCTCGGGGGCCCCCAACAGCAGAAGGACACGGAGCTGCTCGAGCGGGGCCAGAGGAGGCCACGAAGATGCTGGGGGGGCTGGAGCAGCTCCCCTGGGAGGCCGGGCTGAGAGAGATGGGGGGGTTCAGCCTGGAGAAGAGAAGGCTCTGGGGAGACCTTCGAGCGGCCTCCCAGGGCTTAAAGGGGGGACAGGAAAGGTGGGGAGGGACTCTGGGTCAGGGGGTGGGGGTAGGACGAGGTGTGATGGTTTTAAACTGACAGAAGGGAGATTTGGGTGAGATCTAAGGCAGAAATTGTTCCCTGTGCTGGGGGTGAGGCGCTGGCCCAGGGTGCCCAGAGAAGCTGTGGCTGCCCCCTCCCTGGAAGGGTT